AGCACAGGGCAGCACAGCACCCACCGGCGCACAGAACACACCTCTGAACTGTTCCCCCAAAGACTTGCTGCTTACAGCAGGTGTAAAAATGGTTTTTAGGCCTACTTGTTACTAAAAATGGCTTTTCCTCAGGAAATGCCAACTGCCTTTCTCTTAGCAGACGTGGAGAATGAGAGAAAATTAATACATTTGAAGACTTGGACCATATCGGTTTTTATCTTAACTAAATAAACCAATCCTTCCAATGCTTGGTCACGGTCTCCAACGTATGTCACTCTTTTAGCTCTCTTCCAGCTCTCTCCAACTTGTCTACAATTTCTCCAAGTCTGGCACCACAACTGGTCACTCCAGCCGAAGTCTTCCTGCCCACAACTACTTCAGTGAGCCCACAACAGCACTTGCCTTTGACCCTTGGACAGAAGACTGACGTGCCCAGAACCACTATAATAATGCACCATAACCCCCAGATCCTTCTTGCAGTACTGGGTAGCTAGCTGTTCACTGCAAATTACTTTTTTCTTTCTAGATGCAGTGACTCCGCACATCTCACTGATTTCAAAACAGTTTGTAAGTGTATCAAGCAAATGCTGAACTGAAACCTTGACATCCTAAGTGCTTGAAACTCCATCTTAATTTTTTATGCAATACTCTATATTCCAGTTCAGATTTATTAAAATACTGAACGGTCCTTAACCTAAGAGAGCCCTCAAGGACTATACTTGATATGTCCTACTAATTTGCCATTGAACTACTAAAAACTACTCAGAAAGCACAGAGAGATCCACAAATTCAAAAGGTAAGCAAGGTCATGAATTTTACTGTATCAATGAATTCCCAGTGAAAGTCTGCATGCATGCTCCTGCCTCTGAGGAACAAACCTGTGCTTCTCGCAGGGTAAGAACATGCACGCACACAGGGAGCCCTACAGCAACAGCCGTGCTGCTGGGCAAAGACAGACGTGAAGCTGCAGCAAGCTCTTTGCTCCTCTGCACTTTTAGCACATCTTCACAGCCAGCTGTGCACTTGCTTCATACTATTCTTATCTAGACCTTTTTTCTTTTTCCATAGTCTGCTTCTGTAACCAGAATATGAAACTGATGCCAGGAGTATTACTAAAGTGTACAATACAGATCACTTGAGCAAATACATCACTGAAGTGCACCATTTCCAGCTAGCTGTGTTTCAGGGAGATGTTTACCCTCCAGCGTTTAGAAGAACCTCAGAATTACCACACATCTCATTTTTAAGGAACTGATGCACCTACCAAAGACATCTTGAAAACAAAAGCAGCAGTCTTGTAGAAGGCACGGTCAGCTGATCTGTGTCACACCAGCACAAACCAGTACAATACTAAACCATGCTGGGAAGCTGTACAAGCACAACACGCTTGCATAAGTGTTTGCTAAATATTTCACTATGAATATCATTTGCTTTTACAAATAATAGCTTCAGGAAGCAAACACTTTGATTTTATTAATTACATTTAGAGTCACAGAATTACATGGGAACTTCGGAGAGTGGACAAGATCTCTGGAGGTCATTCGGTCCAAGCCCTGCACACAAATCAGGACCCGCTCAATCAGGCTGCCCGGGGCCATATTCAGTCAAGTTCTGTCCATCTCCAAAGATGGAGATGCCACAACCTCTCTGAGCAGCCTGTTTCGCTTTCGAGGTGAAAACTGTTCTCCCAGTATCTAACTGGCATTTTCCTTGTTGCAGCCTGTGTTCGTTGCCTCCAGCAATAATGTGCCTGAGTGAGAAGAGTCTGGCTTTGTCTTCTCAATACCCTCCCATTAACACAGCTGAAGAAAGAAGGTCTCCCAGGCCCCTTACTCTTCTCTACTCTGGGAAAGGAAAGGAGAGGAAAAGAGGGGAAAGGAGGGGAAAGACCAGTCCACTAAACCTCTCAATATATTTTCCAAATCATGATCTATATTAAAAACGCTTTTTAGCTGTAACTGCTGAAACATTCAGAGAGACTTGTAACACATAACCACACCAAGACCAAGAACTAAGACCACCCTTGGCTAATTAACAGAGCTAAATAATTTAAAAGGAAAACTAGACAAAAGAGATGACCCTTTTCACCATATCTCATGTAGCTGGAAATGGATTTTATTTACAATATTTAAATGCAGTACTGTGAAACAAACAACTCGGTTCACAGGCAGCGCACCCGCTGCTGAACTGTCACTGCCTGACATCCTGTCTTATCTGCCAAATTGCTCATTAGGTTTGGCAATTTTCACCTGCGCCTCCAGTTTATATTTCAGCAGGGAATAAACATCAGTCTGCTTTAACAATCTTCTGCAGTGAGCTTCCAACCTCTTCCCAGAAAGCACGCAGGCACACACAAAAAACGCCTTGTGTGCTGTATGCTTAGGAAAAAAACGCAGCTCAACTGATGCAATACAACAAGGGGGAGTTTAACTTGGGCAACAGAAAAGCAGTAAAAGAGAAAGAGTTAGATAAAAAACATAAATAAATCAACTGCTTGTATCGATGAATCGTGTTTTCACACTGCAAAACAACATAGGGGGTATGGGCCAGCTTCATTTTTGTTTCCACATTTAGATGGAAAGATTCAATTTGACACAACCCCCTCATGTGCAAAGTACAGGCTGTGTTTGTGCAGGGGAAAAAGAGGGAATCCAGATGAATATTACTTTTCCAGCTGGACCTGATCTAGCTAACCTTTCCCTTGCTGGGAGAGGAGCGATGGCGTGATCTATAAACAAACAAAAGGGGTAGCATGGCAACCAGAACAAAGAGAAGAAAATCTCAGCAGGCCCTTCAGCCCCAGCCTCCTGCGCCGAGATGCTGCCTGCGAACGGAGGCCGCTCCGCACCCCTCGGGTGCAGGTGAGCGGTAGCAGAATGGCACAAAGCTACGCTTCCGCGGGCGAACTGCTGAGCAACAGCCCAGCCTGCGAGCAAAAAGCACCAGAGATGTAAAACAAAATGTCTAAAATGCTATAAACCAATTTCAGATGGAATACTGTTTTTCATTTGTTAGAAGTAAAATATTCACCGCCAAGCCTGCAATTAGCTAGAAAATTACAATAATTACAGCAATTTTGTATCCCATCTCCAATCCAATTAATAGATATATGACCTTGTCAACATGTAATAATCAGGATCTGCATCTACCACAAAACTGGATGGGTTTTATTTGCTGAATAGAACTTACACAGTAAGAAGATAATTATTTGAAATACTGAGAATACCATTTGTATGCGATGCTTCACTTCACAAGTTATAAAGGAAATACAATAGGGATATTATTTCCATTTTCAATGTATATTTAAATGAAATTCTTGAAATAGGTATGTTTAATATGGGATAATATTACTAAACTGGGATTCTAAGCCTGTGGTTTGGAACATTTAGAAATAAAATACATCTAATTGTCAACATAAAAAAAAGAATTAGCTAGATAGGAGAACATCTCTGATTTGTGATAACACATTTATGACAAATAGGTTCACCCATTTTATTTTTGCACGCTTTTATAAAAAGTGTCAAAAGAGCTACAATTCTTACGAAGAGTTTTAAGAGACTTCTGCATTTCTACGGACCTTTGTATTGTAGGGTCTCAAAGCACTTTTTGGTCATTTGAGCAATCAGTGAACTAGCTAAGTATTCCATGTATTTTCCAGAATGACACAGAAGATAAGTGAGCTGTCCAATATATCATCACTGAATTTTATCTGCGCTATATGATTTTGATGCACTAACATCAATGTACTGTGTAATACACCACATAATCACACTAAAGAGAAAATGCGTATGTATTTGTCTGTTCTAGCCCCCCACCCCCACCCCAAGAGGACAGCTTTTCGGCTTCTGCATGGCAATGAGATATGCATTTAGCAGTGGCATACCCTAGTGACAGCAAAACAGCAGGGTCCTGAAACTCTAGGATACCTCTTTATACTGCTATTAGTCCTTTGCCCTAATTTAATTCTGGGTTATAATGAAGCATAGTTATAGCTTGAAAAGATACACGTTCAAGTCTATGTAAGCTAATTGTTAAATGTCGTTCCCTTAATTTTACAGAAAACACTCTGGTAGAAAACCCCTCAAACTTAAAAAAAGAGTTGTAACTTTTCCACTTGCATTTTACCCAATTACTTAAATGCAGATTTTATGCATTAAAAGAAAACCTACAGAAAAGTAATCTCTTGGGAATTATGAATGTTTGTTTAAAACACTGTATCTGCAGAACATCAATGGACTGACTGATACTGACTTCTGCCAAGAATTTTCTGGAATGAAGTCATTACTTCAAAAGTTCAGTGAACAAAATGATAGATACTACAGGTAAGAGGAGCACAATCCTTTATCCATCATTGTCTTGTTTGCATGGGACTTTTAACAACAAGGAAAATTACACAGTAAATTTCCTTTGGCAACTTTTCTTGTTAATAAGCTGAAATATTCCAAGATCCTGCCTAAGCAAGAACTATGACATATAATTCCTGCTTCATGGTTTTGCAACAAATCTTCCCCATTTTGAAATAAACAAAATAAAGGGATGTGTCTGGCTTTGGTTTCTGTTTTTTAAAGAAGTGTATTTTTGCAACACAGTAAATCCACGTATCGGCAGGTGTTTTTACGCAAAGGTAACAAGCATAACCTTTCTTTAGTTTCTTTTTACCCTTTCCTTCATTAAATTGAATAAAACTGGCAAACTGAAAATTGCACCATGCAGCAATTGCATTTGGAAACTTTGCTGTGATTTTCAGTGTGAGGACAATTTTAAACTGGCAGCACACAGAAGAGCTTATTGCTCCTAAAAGCAGTTGATAAATAATTTATTAAACCAGAAAAGTTTGTTTACTTGCACACAACAAGCATTTATGAAGTTTCTCAATTTTCATCAGCTTTCGATAAGTACAGATAATGAATCATACTCCCAGCAGCAGGACTGGATAACAGCACTTGGCATACTCATAAATTAAGATGAAACACAGTGAGATACCAAGAACATTTACTTACTTGCACGAAGGACTGAAGGGGTGACCTCAATTTCACTTGTTGCTTGGTAAGGCTGAAAGGCTGATGCCGCGTTGGAGCCAAGCTCACTGCCAAAAATCTCTGGGCTTTGCGTGCCTGTTGAGCTGGCGCTGGTGCCATCACCTCCATGGTGCGGATCTTGCTCATCAAACACAGCTACAAGCTGCAAATGACAATTTAATCTACTGTTAAAAAAAAAGCAACTTTCAGCAACATCAAAGTGCCGTTGTAGATCAGCATTTCATCCTTTCTTCCCACTGAAGAGCAAGAAACGTCCACCAGCAGACACTCAGATCAATGCCTAGCTCACGACACCATCAGTCCAAGGAAAGGCAGCCATTAATTGGATAGTACAAAGGGTCAACAGCTCTGACGGGACACAGAACCCAGCACCGCGAGCCGCAGAGTGAACGGCACTGAGTCAGGCAAGGAAGGGTCACACCTTCCCCAGCAACCCACTTCATCTTACCCAGCAACGCAGAAAACTATCTGCCTGCCTATAGATGACTGGGCACTGGAATTTACCACCTGTTTTTTGATACCTCTACGGGCATCACTACTCCAAAGTCAAATCATGAGCAAACCACATTTTTATAGAATAAAAACACACAATAAGAAATTATGTTAATACATGTTGAAAGCTACAGCCAAAATACGAAGCCACCCTAAAGTGTTATAATCACTACAAGTTATCCTCTATTAATCTTTTCTCTATCAACATGATTTAAGTTGTGAGCTTCCATTGCAAAATTTCTGTCAAATACTGTCAGATTTTTGGAGATACTTCTGTATTTGTTTGCAATCAACTTCTCCAAGACAGGCCTCAGAACTCAAGCCCAATGTGAAACTTAGCCAAGACAGTAATTTCATAAAGATTTAGTATATCTGTGTTCACCATTGCAAGGGAAATAAGAAAAATGTCACGATGTTTTTCAGTAAACCTGAGATATTTTTTCCACTGTAAATGAATGCTTTTATTTGAAACAAATAATTTATCCCAATTCATCTTCGGTAACCTACTGAAAGAGAAAAGGCCAGCTCATATAGACATTTAATTTGAGAACTTAATTTTCAAGAAGACTAAAAAAAATTTTTATGGTTAACAGTATTTTGCAGCCTATAAATTAATCTATAATGTAATATTTGAAAGACATTTCCAAGAAAGTATTACATTCTTCTGTCCAAATTGGTAGGGTAAATGGAGCAAATCAACTTACACCTACACTGATCTGTGCAAATTGTTTATTTTGTTAGAACAACACTTAAAGCTTCGTATAACTAAAGGAATCAGAGAGGTCACTTTCTCTTTTCTTTTTTCTTTTTTTTTTTGTAAGTGAATTTGACATCATCTCATCCTACAGATTTTAATATTAGTCCCTTTACTCAAGTGTAACTTACACAAACATCAGTTTAAAAAAAAATGAAAACCACAACTGTAAGCCCAAGTGGAAACCATTTGAGAATTCAGCTTTTGAAAGTACTTTCAGGCAATAACTTTTTTTAATGACTAGTTTTGAAATTGCAGACAGTAGCAAACTTCTGCCAATAATTCCACACCTAATGCAAATTTAGGCTCTGGCATGCACAAAACACAACGAATGAACTGGTAATGCACAGAAAGTCCCCACTCCCTCCAGTGCTATTTGAAGGGCAGGGAGCAGAAGGAAAACCAGGCTGCAGCTGCAGACAGCTAGAACATGTTTTTAACGTACAATTCGTTACTTTATGCTTGAGACATCTACACACAAGGTAGCAACAAGAGAGATGTGACACCACCTAAAATGTCAGTAGCTCAAGAGTATTGGAAATTTAATTTTCTAACACACTGCGAAATACCAAAACTTACATAAACTGAAGCGTATTTCTCAAAAGAAGCACACTTTACTCATAGCACTTTTACTATCTGCTTCATAACAAGCTAATTACCAATCTCCAGCAACTGAAAATAAAATTAAACTGTAAGTGAAGATGTGCAAGGTATTAGAACAAAACACAAATGCTGCATTTAAGAATTCTCGGCATGAAACATCAAATCTTCTTCTCCTTTGCATCGCATGTATCAAGACAAATCCCCCAATTACATTCTCTTCCTTGGAGGTTGATTGAAAAATACTACTCAATGCACACTGCTGCAAGTATTTTTTTTATATATAATATATATGCAAAAAGGTATGTGCATATAAATCTCTATATATGCATGTTGTACTCTAAGTTGCCTCCAGCTTCTTGCCAATTCCAGACAGTCTACCACCTCTGACTTCAGAACATCTGAAAATGAACGTTTCTCATTTCAAGCTTAGCTTTTGATCTTATGTGTTTTCGCAGGTATTTGCCATTTTGACAGCATCAAACCTTCAAAAGGCTTCTGTTCCATTAAAAAGCATACCAAGTCGTAACATTTTTGCATACAGCATGTGAAGAAACACAAGCCATGCTGGTCCTCTCCAAATCTCATTAGCCTTAACATTTTACTCTACAGTAGCAGCTTGTAATTCAGCGCAGGTTTGCAGCAGCCCTGCTACGCAGGTGACGAAGTCTGTTGTAAAACAGAGTTACAAAGGTTACTCATTCCTCATGACAAGCTAGAAGGTCTTCGGGACTGGAAGACTTCACGCGAATAGCCAGTGCTGGCTCTTGATTTCAGTGCTTGGTGTGCCACTCAGGGGATGACTGAGGATGAGCTCAGAAAACATCTTCCACTGCATCCTGCCATCACGCATTCGCTTCTGATTTCATAGAAATCATAGAATCGCAGAAAGTTTTGGGTCGGAAGGGACCCCCTAGAGGTCATCTAGTCCAACCCCCCCGCAGCAAGCAGGGACACCACTAACTAGATCAGGTTGCTCAGAGCCCTGTCCAACCTGGTCTTGAATGTTTCCAGGGATGAGGCCTCCACCACCTCTCTGGGCAACCCGTTCCAGTGTTTCACCACCCTCATTGTAAAGAATTTCTTCCTTATATCCAGCCTAAACCTACCCTGTTTTAGTTTAAAACCATTACCCCTCGTCCTGTCACTGGATTTCTCCAACACATTTTATGTTAATCAAGGGAAACTCTTCAAGGAAAGGAATGAAACTCTTCAAGGAAATGCCTCTAGAGGCTCAGAAATCCCACCTCGCCTACCACCT